CAGAGAAACTGGAAGCGTGAGCTACATTAGACAGATGAGGCTAAAGCCTCTCTCTCTTTAACACCTACTCTTCTTAAATAAATAGAGCAAAATTCTACCCTCACTCATGGTCAGTGAGGTTCCACAGATGTCAGAACGGAACCAGATTTACTAAAGAGATTTTAGTGAAGAAGGGTAAAAATCCAGAGCAAAGAGGTTCAATGTTTTTACTCAGATAAGACTTCTTATTAAGAAAGAAATTGGTAATACCTGTCTTGAAGGTAAAAATATAGAAAGGAAAAAGAAATGAAAGAGAGACGGAGTTGTATGGTAAAGGATTATGTCAAGCAAGAGCTCTTAAGATTGATTTTTGCCAGTCTGAGTGGGCTGAATTGCGTGAGGCTGAAGATATATCTTCGAAAGCATCTTAAATCTTCCAAACACCACCATTGCTTGTTCACAAGAGGACTTCCTCTCTAGTGGTAGATTGAAGTTAATTTCTTTACTCACTCAGAAAGGCAACGGGTAATAGGAGGGCTAAGTATGACCTCTTCCCTAGTGTGCTGAGCATGTTAGAGTGCAAAAGATTAAATTAGTGCTTTTTTTTCTAACTAAAAGGCATAATTTCATTGGGGAGGGTTGAAGTAATTCAGCATATCTTACAGGGCTTTTGATATTTCAGGCAAAATGATACCTTGTGAAAGGACTTCAACAGTGAATAAAACAAAAGCGTAATATAGAAACAACCCCACATTTGGTATTTTGGCACATCTTTTTCTTCGAGTCTTCAGCCAGCGCTGATCAACATTATCTTCCATTACTTACCTCATTAGGCAGCGCCTTCATCAGTGTTTGAAGAGTCTTCTCAAAGGTTATTTGGAGAGAAAGCCTGCAGAAAATTCTACACATGCTAGAAGAAACCCTGGTATATGCTGACCATCCCCTCCTAAATACAAACTCCGGTTTAGAGAAATGCACCGAAGCCTCTTCATGCACTACATTACGTGGACTCCTCTCTGTGACCTCCAAATGCCCCGATTTTCCCTTGCCTACCACATAATAGTCACGTAACACTATCCTTGATGGACTACATATGAATAAGAGGCTATTTTGAGGTTGTAAGTACTTTAAATTGTAAGGTTCCCAGTACACCACTCCACAGCTGGCTTGGGAACAGAATAATTAACTCAATGTAAGATGTATGCAGTTGTCTTTATGAAAGCCCAATCTGTCCTCAGAGAGCGTTCTCCCCTGTGAGGAGGCAGCCTTGGAAAAAGCAGAAGAACCAGATCGTTAGTAATGAGTTTCATTAATGCGGCTGCTAAAGCTACGTTGCCGTCACTTGGCAATGATGATGTGAACTGTGATCTTTCGAAGCTCCGAGATCTCCGTGGCGCTTTCTGGCCAGACAAGGAGACCCAGGTTGTGCGTGTGTGACATCAGCAGAGCACTTGGGACAAGCCAAAGCCGGATCCCCGCACAGAGGCAGAAAAAAGAAAATCTGTATTTAATTTACACTGCTTGCATTTATCTGTAGCACCGTGTTATCAGGTAAACCCACCAGGGACAAACAAAACGAGAGAGCGACCGTGGGCCTGTGCTTCCTCCAGAGGAGCCCGTATGTACACGTCTCTCAAGTGATTCTCGGCTCTGGAAAACAGAAAGCCCCCATCCCCCTAAATATTGTTTTAAGACACCTTAAAACATTACAGGAAGACATCAATAGTAGGAAGAAATTTCCAGACATTTATCTTCTCTGCAGCGTTAGTGCGCATCTCCACCGATACCCAGACAGTCCAGTGGCCAGCGGGACCGTGTCTGTCTTGAACCACGAGCAAACCCCACCTGCTCCTCCCAGCCTGGGCTGCCCCCCATAAGAACACAAACCCAGTGGGTGTTTCTCCCGGGAAGCCAGGCGATACCCCGGTACTCCCCGAGGCGAGAGGGCTGAACGCCTCCCACATCCCTGAAAGTCTGAGGGTTGCAGGAAAGTCGGAACGTGTCGAACGAGCCCTGCTGCCGCTGCAAGGCCAGCAGTTCCCCATCAGCGGCGGATGCTGTTGTTCTTTAGACACCATCTGTTGCAACAGCTGCTGGTGGCCTTCCAACAGGCTCTTTAGCGCAGGTCTAAAACCAGATTGCTCCCAGTCAACCACCTCTCCTTATCTAACCTTGACGAGGGAGGCTGAAGATCATTGTCACTTCGGTCCCCTTCCCTAGGGCCTGTGGTGGCACTCACCACCGCAAATGGAAGTATGGCTTAGGGACTGGGAGAAACGATCACCAGAGCCCTACTGAGGAGCGCCTGCGGGTGGGGTGGGGTGGGGTGGGAGCAGGGCAGGGGAGGAGGTGTCTTCTAACAGCCCCCTCACCACCAGGTGCATCCATGGTGATGCAGCAAAAGGCCCAGCATCCAGCCTGTCCCTTCTCCAGGGCGGCCTCTCTAGTACAGAGCAGCCCCATTAGAATCCCGACCTCCACCAGAGGCTGAGCAGTTTTCCTTTAATCCCAAAGAGCCTCTCCTCTCCCTAAATCCCACGCTGCAGAGCCCACAGTGAGCGGGGCCCTGCTCGCTCCTGGTGCAGCTGAGGCTCCACGCAGGCGGGTTACGCAGAGCCCTCTCAGTCACTCCTCAAGGAGTGTCTGGTGGGTATGTCCCTGCACGCTGCTGGGCACCCCCACCTACCCTCTCGCCCTCTAAAACACAGGGGCATCAGAGCACGTTAGGCCAGCTATCTAAAAAATAGGTCTCTCCGTTTAATATTTTACTCCTCCCCTTGGCTTTTCAGCACTGTTCCGTTGTGTTTACTTTCCTAGCAGGACTCCCGTGTAATTTTTATAAAGATTGTAAGCAGTGTCACCAGCCTGCCCTACTTTTGACAGCTCCATAAAATCAGTATTTTTACTGTAATGAAAAACGCATTGAAAGTCACTTTTGGCAACACATTTTTACTACTTTTTTTGTGCCAATTTTTAAAGCCATATTTCTGATTACCTCCTTGTTCAGAAGGTTTTGCGTGTTGTCGTGATTCGCTATTGAATAGAAGATTTTTATAAAAATCGTTGGGCAGAGTGTCGCAATTCCACCGGACCTCGGTTTATACTGTACGACCGTACATATATGTCTGAGTATCACCGTGTAATACCGACATTTGAAAACCCAGAGCTACCAGATGTTTAAGACCATCTGAAAACAGAAAGGAAACACGTCGAAACAGCGCAGAGCAATTCCTTACTCTGGCTCCTACCTGCGCCTGCAACAGTTACTTACCTTTCCGCACCGCCTGCTATTTACTTCCGACGCCTTAAGGTACAGTAACACGCGTACAGTGCTTTTCCCTGTATTTTTATAGCCCGATTATGTAACTGTGCTGCTTGCATAACCGCACCGCCGATAAATGTGGGATTTGTCTGAGGATCAACACAGAGCAGCTACTGCCAGCCCCTTACAGAGTCTCCCTCCCAGCCGCCCCGCTTGGAGCGCGGAGATAAGGTGGGTGCCCTGTGTGTCAGCGCGCCCTTTCCAGCCTGGCCGGGAACGTTTAGCCTAAAATAACGTTTGCATTCATTGCATGAGACAACGTCACCGAAGAAACCAGGTCTCAGGCGGCCTCACTGAAGCACACACGGCAGAAATCCACCCGGCTGCCAGATGTCCCCTGTCCGGGGGTATTTCCCAGCTCTGTCCCGCCTGCTGGGGCTCT